CGTGAAAAGGTCGGGCCAGTGGTCTGAAAGCAATTGGTTTCTATGCGATCGGTATCTGCCGTACGCTTTGGGCGGCGGTTATGTCATATCCGAGGAATTGGTCCGATTTGTGGCACAAAACGCACAATTCTTGCAACTGTTCCGCAACGAAGACGTCTCTCTCGGAGTATGGCTTTCGGCACTTAATATCAATCGCATTCATGACATGAGGTTTGACACGGAATACCAATCCAGGGGTTGTCTTAATTCTCATCTAATCACTCACAAGCAAAGTGTCGATAAATTTAGGGTTTTATACGAAAACTTACAAACTTTTGGCAAATTGTGTCAAATTGAAAGTGAAGTCAAGTATTCCTATGAATACAATTGGAAACTTGCGCCCACTCTGTGCTGTCATCGAAATATATCACTCAAAACACATACAATTCATTAATATTTTATGAATACAACTCTATTTACTTATTTTAATTGTAATAATCACTCATTTAATAGTCTTTTTAATAGTTATTTACAGTTTTAAAATTTAAATACATTTTAATTTATGTAAAATAATGTTCAAATTGTATGATATTTAGACTTATTGTAACTCAATGTAAAATATGTGAATAAAAGTGTACGTTATATACGAATGGCGACAGTATTGCCAACTCCTCATTGAGAAACCCGGCGTTTGTTTTGAGATTATCTTCAATTGACACCACATTTCAGTTCTTCATTTAATCGCCATTTCGTGGGAACCATGTGTTGGTTAAAAGCGTTGAGTTTGCTATCAGTGATAGTGATCTCGCAATCAATGGAGACATTGGTGTTGTTGGACAACCTGTCCATCCGAGAGACTCACTCACTGTTCTTCAAATCACTGCAACGTTTGTACCATTTCTTCATCATTTGAATCAAACTAATGAAGAGTTTATTGCATTGATTAGAGCGAGGCTTTCAGTTGACGTACCGATCGGCCGATGACCCGTCCCTCTCGTTAGTCAAATACGGCACTCATATCTACAAACACCTCGTTATCTTCGCGCCGTCCGTCGAAGGTATCTCTTGTTAAATGTGTGTCCATTTGATGGCTAAATGTATTGATGGCACAGAATTCGGTGGTAACGTGAATGTGGAGGCGATCACTGAGTTCATCGACAACGGCGGCAATGTATTGGTCGCCGCCAACAGCAATGTCGGCGATGCCATCAGAGAGTTGGCCGCAGAGGTAGGCGTCGAGATCGACGAAGAGGGCGCTCATGTGATCGATCACATGAACTATGATGTCTCGGATGAGGGACAGCACACGACTATTGTGGCCGACTCGGAGAACCTGTTGGCGGCGCCCACTATAGTCGGCGACCGCACCACCATTGGACCCATTCTTTACAGAGGCATTGGAATGGTTTCCGATCAAAACAATCCATTAGTTCTGGACATCCTTTTGGCCGCTTCGACCGCTTATTCTTATAATCCAAATAAGAAAAT